CCATGCAGAATTTCATAGCTATATGAGGATCTTGAGCAGAAATATTTAAGTGTTAGTCTCCATTAAGCCTACGAACATGAGGGGTTGCGAAAAGCTGACCAAAAGCTTTGTAAGATTTTCATGAAAGAAGATACGCTTTTTTATATCATTTGAGGTGTATTCAGCTATCTAGCTATAACATGGTCAGTACCGTGTATATGGTGGATAACTGTATTGGCTTCAGAGACACTCATACTCTGGATTTCTTTAGCACATACCACTAAGAGGTATGTTTATTTAGGCAGAACAATTAGACATCCCGCGTATTACTATTTCATTTTACGTCCTTTCTGAGTCTGTGACTATGTAGGAAATGTAGGTCCTCTCTGCCAACAGGCCAAGGATACCTATACCAGTAGTATATCCCCTCCTATTCCTCCCATATAGCTCCCCTCAAACAGTACCACCCCTCACAATTCCTCATTCGATCATACACTTAGAGGAGCTCTTAACCCTTCATTATCTCCCCTATCCAGCCAACGAAACGATAGCCATTTGCGGGTCTGTGGCAGCCGGGAAAAATCACAAAAACCACTGGATTCGCGGCTCTCCTAATTGTGATACCAGGACTAAATCTGAAGACATTGCTAAACTTCTGAAATGTTCGAAGGGGCTTGCTAGCTGGGCGCTACAGACTTGTGTGTACCTCGGGAAATTTACCCTCTACCTTTCTAGCCTCCTTCCAACTCCTTCCCGAAGTTCGTGCTGAGATGTCAGGAAATTCTTGGCAGAGCGTGATTGCTGTATGGTAGCTTAGCCCAACTTCTATAGAGCTGTCAAGGGTACTGAGGAGTATCGTTAACTCATCGACAATAGAAATCTTCCTGGCTAGTTAGCCGAAATCTCGGTCTTGGCGCCCACAAACGTTGCAAAGTCAAATACATCTCGAAAATATCAGACCCATTATTTCCACAGGAGATCTCTTCCGTATATCTTTCCATGCCCCAGACGCCTGTCCTTCTTTAAGACGTATGGCCCTATTAGAGCAAAAGTCCCCCATAAACCAAGACACCAACTTTGTATATTATGACTTAATTTCTTCCTTGCGGGTATACGTAGCGTAGTAAACTTGCAATGAGTGATGGTTGGTAACAAATGAGGCAAGCTCCTGTTTGCAATTGAAGTAACGCTTATATCGAGCGTTGAGTCGAGGTGGTGTGTGGAGAGGTTAAGGCAGAGGACTCTCATGAGAATGACAAGATCGACATTGATGAGAAGTCGACGGCTATAGATGTGTCTGTTTTTGCTTCCGACTTCGATTCAAATGCGATTCTTCAAGGCTATCCCAGGTATGCAGAGCATTCTGAGCGATTACACCAGCACCACTGGAAGGCGAAGAATTCGTCTCTGCCGACAACATCCTGCGTTAGTATCTACAAAAGCGTAGATTTATAACATTAAGTCGTCCGAGCGCACCAGCGTCGTGAGAAATATGGCGGAGTCTTACTGGGTTCGTGTCAACTGTCTTCTGTCTCGGAGAGCAAGACTGAAAACCTGTACGCGGTGTACTCTACGAACCTGGAAGTGTACTTGCAAATGAAATCCGAGGCATGAGTGCTCTTCTTTTAAATTGAGTCATCTAGTATACACTTCTCTGATATTGTGTCATAGCTAGATAGCTGCATACGCAATTACAATCTGATGCAAAAAAGAAAAAAACCTGGAAGTAAAATATCCTCCCAAAGCCAAGGTTCGGTCAGCCCCAAGGGCCGAATCGATTTTTTTCCTGACTGAGAGTCTCGTCAGAAGGAGTAACTCCGGGCTAAGATTGGTCAGAGCTCCCGGACTGCAGAAATTTCTCGACCACCTAAATCACGAAGAAAATTATCAAGACTATTCAAGCCGGAATTTACTTCAGCTGATTGTCGCACTCTCCCTCAATACACTTGACAAGTTTTGAAGTCCCTTTTTAATGCTAATATGTTGTGCTGGTGATGGCTAGGGTTACGATGCACAAGGGTAATGATCACTGAGGGTGAAGGAAGAAGTTTCCAGGTGGCTCCATGATGAGTAGAGGAACAATGGAGCACTGTGTAGAAAGTGTTTCTAGATTGTACTGCCAGATGGAGGAGACTAGAATATTCCGTGATACTATTTTGGGTAAATGAGGCGAGAGTCTAGCTACCTCAGATGTGTATATAATTAGGGCTTTCTACTTCCTAAATCCTCATTGTTCTGAATATCAAATATATATCAGCAGTTTACATTGATCCATCGATAATCATCCGTAAACCATCTGCCATTTAACCTCCGTAAGCTCTTACCTTTACAACATAATAAAAAAGCCACAGCATGACCCGCGACCATCTCTTCCAACACTGTTGACGGAGAATTATCGGAGGACGTCAAATTCAGATTACTGAGTATGAATGTTCTATGATGAAATCAAAACCTGCGTATAAAGATGGGAGAGATTTTGGGCCGTGGAAGCTTTGGAAGTGTTTAAAATGAAGGACTCAGGTTGTGAGGGCATCACCTAGAAGGATGGCAGAGGCAGTCAACCCTTCAAAATTCTAATAAATCTCTATGGTGCTGAGCGGCGGCTGGGCCTCTCTTTGAATTTGCTGGGCTCTTTTCAGGCGCAGGCAGCTCAGGTAGTCTTTACAGACTGGGCTAACCGACACTTGGCTATGTAATCTAGTTTATTATTAATTTAGGTCCTAGGCTATACCCGTTATCCCCTAAGGGTCAAAGACCGATGTTCACAGCCAAGATCATATCCCTGATAAGCCAAACTTGATCCCACCGCTTGAACCACTACACAAATAGTAGCTAGTATAAAATTCGCACTGGTACAAAAATTCAACCTTTAAAAACCAAACTCCTAACCACAAAACTATCCAGCTCTGTATATTTACCAATCTCTGGTTCGGAAACAAATCTCCTCGACTTGTCTTCCTTCCTGTCACATCATCTGTATGACTAATTCATATTGTCCCCAATGAGATCAGAGGACGAATTTGTAGATGGCAACCCAAAACAGCAGGTTTCCTTCTCAAAGATTTTGAAAAATTCGTGACACTTTGGCCCGAGAAGTTTTTGGATAAAGCCACTATGTGACGATCTCCCTCTGAGTCGACGCGTGACGTGAGCGTGTAGTCCACAGTGAATAAAATGGGTAGGAGTGGTCTCCTCCCCACAGGCGCACTCCATTATAGCGTCCAGATTGCTGAAACGGCGATGATGCGCCGCGAAATTGCCATGTCCAGTACGAGCTGCAATCAGATTTCGGAGTAGGAACCTCGAAAGTCCCAGCTCAGGTGGTTTCCTTCGTCGCATGAGCAGGTCGAGCTTGCGATATCGGGGCGGGCAAGCTTCGTTCCACCAATCGTCGAGTAACGCCTGCCGCAGACGATTCATTTGGCCATAAAGAAATGCCAGAGTGATGGATTCTGGATGCATTTCCGGGCTCGGCAGCATTCGTAGGCCAGACCTGGCGGCCGAGTCGGCTTCCAAGTTACCCTGGATTCTTGAGTGCCCGGGAACCCATTTAATTGTCACGCGAGCTGATTTGGACAACTCCCGAAATTTCCGTACTTTATCGTGGCTTGTCGTGGACTTGCCTGTCTCGAGTGCGTTGATTGCCTGCTGACTATCCAGTAGAAGGTTGACTCGTTGCGACTATGTAATCTAGTGTTGTGCGCCGGCACGACGTTAAGTGATTTTTTAATAAAAAAACACTTTTCTCTTTTTTGGTATTTTATTATCTTTTCTTAGTATGAGACTATGTAGGAAATGTAGGTTTTCTCGGCCTACAGGCCAAGGATACCTATGCCGTAAGTAAGTCCCCTCCTTTACCTCCTATATAGCTCCTCTCAAACAGTCCTCACTTGATCATACACTTTAGAGAGCCCTTTATCATCTACACTCTCCAACCTCATTCCCCCGATATCAGAATATTGTTGATTCTTGTGTTTTCATTAAATGGACGGCGTTGCTATATACCATCCCGGCTAGTCTCTAAGAAAAACTGAGAGGGAAACTGCTGCACTGATTCCTCCTATGCTGTGCCAATCACGCGTTTCCGGGTGGAAATGTGACAGAGACGCATCGATACGCCCATTGAGTGATTGAAAATTTCCCTGATGAAGACATACGTTGGAAGAGAGGTACAGCCTTCGCTTTATTACATGCCTCCGGCAAACAACTATCAATCCCTCTGCCCGAACAACTTATTAACCTCAGTTTTTGGCGCCTTCAGTCAAAAGAAGTCATGCCCTTCCTGGTTCCGGTTTAGACGGTCACTGGACACATCACGCCCGAGCTCGCTCCGTCGTAAATTATTCTATGAATAGGGCGAAGATAGCAGAACATGTCACCTATCCCCGTGACTTAATCTGCTGGGAAACTTCAGACGGTTCTCACCGGAAAAATATCATGGGCCTTCATGGGACACATAACTGGTTGGAAATTCTTACGTCAAGCTGGCCTTGTTGGTACCCACTTAATCGCTTATTACGGAGAGAGTTTTAGTCGCCTCGTTTACGGTTCCTGGAGTCGAGTCAAGCAGGGGAGCTGTGGCAATGAAACCCAGAATATCAAACATTCGCCATTTCGTTGGAAAGTCGATGACGAAGAGATGGGCTGACTTCACTCCTGAGGAATTTGGTGAAAATGCGAATTGCTAAGATGTGAATTTGGGGTGGAAACGAAAAGGGCTTAGCTGTCAATGACACCTACACTCTCTAGCGAATTAGCAACAAACTCTTCACGAACAGGGGACTCATAGATTACATAAGCCAGGTCTCGAGGTGCAAATCCGACGGCAAAGAAGCCCATGTCCTCGTTTTCGTTTACGAAGCCGCTGGCCAATAGTAAATGATCCATTACTTTCCTGCCATCCACCTCTCCTATATCCACACCACTCCCTTTGGACCCTGGAACCCTTTCGATGCCGCAAAGCTGACTGAAAACTACAAGTCGACCCTATTCCCCTCTGCCGAATATTCTGACCCACAATCATGTCTCTCTCATCCCTCATGCACGATTTGACCTGCAAAAATGGCATTGGCAGTCCAAACGAGCTCCGTGGGCTCTCTCGCGCCAGCTCCTCTATCAACTCAAGTCTAGATGACAAACGTTCTACTTTTTCCAGAGCCCGCACGTACGCCAGCACTACGGCAACCAGCGTGAGCATCGCTGGGGACATCTCAAGCCAGCTGCACGGCGGCTATTCACATCCGCTCGCACGATCATGGCAGGCCGAGAGACAATTGACAAAGGTTTGACTCGAATTATTAGTTCCAGCGCGAACACTTCAATTGACAAATACTTAGTCCATGCTAATTCTGCCACTATTCCTAACCGACAATAATGATGAAGAGACCCTTATTCCATCCCTACCAGGTCATTATCGTCGTGGCATCAATAAAATAGCCAACTATCTTAGACCACTGATCCAAAAAGGACTTCGCTCCGTCATACTATTTGGTGTTCCCCTTGCACCAGGCGCCAAAGATGTCCTTGCCACCGCTGCAGATGATCCAACTGGTCCTGTCATAGCTGTCATTCATTTACTACGCGAGTGCTTTCCCCAGCTTTTCATAGTTGCCGACGTCTGCTTGTGCGAATACACCTCGCATGGCCACTGCGGGATTCTACGTGAAGATGGCAGCTTGAACAATGAGTTGTCGGTCGATAGAATTTCTGACGTTGCCATTGCATATGCTCGCGCAGGCGCTCATTGTATCGCGCCTTCGGATATGAACGATGGGCGAATACGGGCAATTAAATTAAAACTAATAGAGGAAGGGATCGCCCACAGAGTTGTTCTAATGTCATACGCTGCCAAGTTCTCTGGCTGTCTTTACGGACCGTTTCGCGATGCTGCAGGCTCTGTACCGTCCTTTGGCGATAGAAAGTGCTACCAGCTACCACCAGGAGGTCGTGGCTTAGCACGTCGGGCTATTGAGAGAGATATTAGCGAAGGTGCCGATATCATCATGGTCAAGCCCGCAAGCCAATACCTTGACATCATCAGCGACGCAAAGTACATTGGCAAAAATATGCCTGTTGCGGCATATCAGGTTAGCGGCGAATTCGCTATGATTCATGCTGCTGCTAAGGCGGGCGTATTCGATTTGAAGACCATGGCGTTTGAAGCTACGGAAGGAATCCTAAGAGCTGGCGCAACCATTGTAGTAAGCTACTTCACCCCTGACTTCCTTGACTGGTTGGAGTCGTAATGTTGTAAAATATATCAATAATGATCTATGGGAACGGGTTATAGATCAGTCGCATTAATGCCGGGGAAAATATTCTGTTATCAAAAAAGGTTAAAAACTAGGGTCGGGCACATATAAAATTTAGTAATGGTTCTCTCAGTCAAAATGCTCACTGGTGATGTTGGGTCAATCTATTCACGCCATCATCTATCACAATATAATCATCTCATCATCAAAGTGATCATACTTTAACATCGGATTCGAGGGGATAATTCTGATTAATACTTGGAAGACTACGGTGTGCTCAACAGATAGTAGTGGTCAGTCCAAGCATGGGTGATGCATTGACGTGAATGAAGAATAAATATTTGATCATTGAAGGTGCGCTTTGCTCGAGACAATAGTCAGCAGACATCAATAAGATGTGACTGTAGGCGAGGTATTGGGCGATCATCCCATCTCGCCAAGAATTCCAACCAAATCACATGAGATCATGACCCCGAAATTCTTTCAGGTCCCTCTCTCTACCATATTATAACGAGTATTTATATTTCCTGGTTGAAACTAGGAACAGAAAATGACGGTAGGGAAAGTTGTGTAGCAGAATTCAGCTTTGGTGCATGTCCTTCGGGCAGGAACTGAGGGTTCAGGGGTATTAGAATGTTTACTAACAGTTAAGTAGCTGGTTAGGGCTGGTGTAGCCAAGCATTGAACGACTCGTTGGTTATTAATATTCTTTTCACCACACGAGCCCACTGAAAGTGTTTTTGTAAATAAGAACTAAATTTTCATCAATATGCATCCTGCAAAAATATGTCCTTGGGCCCGACAGTAATACATTATTCTGGAATTTTCAATTCAATGTCCGACGTTGAGATACTTCAGTCAGTCAAGGTAAACCTGAGCCTACTTAGTTTGTAGACCCGTCTGTCACGTATAGAAGGACTCGTTCAGAATCCATCAGTAGAGGAAAGAATCGAAGACGGCGGATTTACTTTAGATGAAGAATCCTCTGGAAGTGTAGGCCACCAATAGCCTTAGTAGACTACGAAGGTAGTGCTTAGTAGCTATGGGGTTTATATCCCAAAGACGATTTAGAGTTGCTCGACTCACGCGTAGTATAATTACCATCTAATGGCTCACTGAGTAGTTGGTTCAAATTCTGATGTTAACCATTGCCCAAATGATCGACAATGACTCCATGAGGCGAGAGCTATGATTCTCACGGTGAGCAGATTATTTTGGATTCCTGCAGCAAAGGTGCTTTAGTAGTCTAATGTACTCTTGTGAGTGTTCCTCACACACGCCTTCCCCCGTCATCGTATGGGCAATCTTACAAGGGCGCTTTGCAAATTCCACTAGAATGACTGACGTGTCGTCAGCGCCGACCTGTAGCCAGTTGAGAGTGTCCAAAACTAGACTCGAGCCCGTCACTTGCTTGCCACGGAATGAATCATGAAGTAGCAGACCATAAGCCTGTGGATCCTGAAGGTGTAGATAATCGGGAGCTGGAGACGAGATATGAGCGTCGTCTTACCACTAGTTAGGTAAGACCGGATCGCCACTCAGGGCAATAGCGTAGAATGTATATAGAGCATGGTAGTCCTTAGAGGAAAGGAAGACAACCTTCTGCTTATCTTAGACTTCGATATTGATCACCCCGTGAATCTGATATCGTGAGTCCCGAGCGATAACGATCTCAACTATTTACCAGTACCCTCAAGCCATTCGAATTATGATTTCCTCGCGCAGGAGATCACCAGCACCCTTACGGAAAGCTGCGCAGACTCTCTCGTCAATTTGCTTCGACCACACGACGATGTGGCGGGTGAGCGAGATGGCGTGGCTGCATGCAGCGGTCCCCATGCGGTGCGAAGGCGACGGCGGATGAGGGCAACAAAGGCAGCGGAGCAACACCGCCTTCCAGGATAGGTGGCGTGGAGCATCGCGGTACTATCAAAAATCCAAGGCTGATTGATTTGGATGGAGTTGAGGAAGGTGACGTGCTCGACATGAAGAGCTGGAATGAGGCCACCGGCGCTTACTACGATTACGAGAATGCCTGGAGCCGATTCTCTCAGTACTCTTCCAATCGAGCCGAGGATGGTGGCACTGAGGTGGCGAAGAAACGTCCCGCTCATACCGCTGGCGGCTCCACGGCGGCATCGTTGTGGACCCTGGAGATGCTACAGGGCCCTAGGCTAACCGGACCCCGGAAAAACGGTACACTGTAGTCGCGATCGTCCCATGGCCCTTTGTGTAGAGAGTCTCACACCAGCGCTGAGGGGTAATAGGGGACTGATAAATTCAGGCACGTGGATAACTTAAAGTTGAAGTTTATGGAATCCACTGACCAGTCTCAAGCTCTATTTATTTATTCTACAGTTAACGCCAAGCAGGCTTCAATTACAGCCAGTGGATACAAACTCAGACATTGTGTGGAAAAATATCTCAGTGCAGTGAGCGCGCTAGTGGTCACCAAACTTGGGACTGTCCGAGACAAAGTGTCAGTTTTGCTAATTAATGCAAGAGATACTAGTCGCAGGAGAATTTTGCGTGTCGTTCATTGTAGATCTACAAGAGAAGCGTCAAGATAGCCTATCCCGAGCTTCTAGAAAATACGGCTAACATCCGACAAGAAAAATTACATCCAGCGGTAGATACAATCGACGACTGGGGGGACTTTTCTAGACACCTGTCAGAGGTGTTCTCTACGAACCTCCAGCTCTCACTGTAGAGTCTGCAGAGCCAAGATTGAGCAACAAAGTCCTCACTTCGACGAGGATTTCCAATCGCTTTCGCCGTTTGTATCGTCTTCATCTCTCAACACATGCCCCTATCACCATTATCATAAAGCTAACCACGATCAGACTAGATAGTAGGGTCGAAGCCCTTCTCATCACTAATCCTTGATCATGGAGGAGATGCCATCCCATGAGTCTCCGCAGCCTACCTAGAACTCGATACCGAAATAGTGGATTGGATCAAGTCCGCCTCGACTGTTACAAAAAAGAGAGGTGTTGCTGGGCTACAGGCTTACTGGGATTTTAACCGCGCACGCAGTTTCCATTGCTACCATTTTATTATTTCTGGGTAGAAGGTTCCGTGGAAAAGGTGGCCGAAATTTACTGTTAAATATTGAACTGAATAGCTATCTATAAAGGGTAACATATCATTGATCTTTTAAGGAACAAAAAAAGATAGGAGCACTGTACAAGGTGTGGCCTGGGCAAGAGAACAGCCCAATATGTTAGATATTCAAAGACTCAAGTAGCACGATAAATTAACATATAATAATACAACCTGACAACTGGGGCTTTACATTGGCCGCCAGCGAAAAGGTATGTGCAGCCGGGAGAGGACCGGGGCAACCCTAAAAGGAAGCCACAGCTCCAGCAGCTTCAAGCAACATTATGATGGAAGCATAACAATTCGGGCAATATCTTCGTACGCTCAAGAGGCTAGGGCTCACTCGGTAGATTCTGTCCTTTTTTGATTTCACGTGGGCATTTGCTCGTCGATGAAGGAGTTACAGAATAGAAGGAGAAATCTCTAAGAAACATTGCAAAAGTAGGACCTCGCTACTAAATTGGGCTATTACAGCGCTGCGGAACGCCAGGTTTTGTTGCTTCCAAGCTATTTCCCTTAATGATTCGGCCTTTTGCTCACATCGGCATATGCAAAAGAACCGAATAAGAATTATTAACAATTAATTTATCCCCTATCTTTGTATTGCAACGTCAATCACACTCCTCGATATACCAAATATTATCGGCAAGAAAAAAGTCTCGCTGACCGGACCGAAGCAATTACAAGTTTTCTCTTGCGTGAATCAATATTAGCTCTAAAATTTTATGAGTTTTATGGACTAATCATGTTAGTTAGACTTAAGTAGAGTTATGGAAATATTTTCTGTTACATAAAACATTGTTTTTTTTACAAATTATTAAACTTTTTCACTTTATGGCTTTATAAAATCAAAAGAGATACATGGTCAACGAGGGAAACCAGATCTAGGAAAATTTGCCTCCTGTTAAAAGAAAGGCAAATCTAAGTGATGGGGCTATAGATAATAAGACCAAGCGCTCCGGGCCGCCCGGAGAAGACTTTTCGCGGTTATTAGCTTTGCGGAAGTCATACTGCGGAGTGATGAGGAGTGGATAATGTTATGTTTTGTGGCTGACAGTGACTAGACTCATAAACCACTATGCTGTAGGTATATGAACAGAAAGTGTTAGAACAGACCTGTGTCCTTTTATTGTGGATACATCTATGGGACTATTACGTGCTCGCCTAACCAATACACTAGTGATGTATGCAGTGGCCTTGAGACACACGCGATTCCCTAACCTCGACTACTTCGCTTCATATCACAACGAGACTTTACACAAGATGAGATTGAGAGCACTTTGAAGTTTGTGCCTCAGGAGAAGTCATCTGGACCTGAAGAAATCCCTCATGAGATTTTCTAGCCTTTCCTACCGTGTTGGACAAATAGGCTTACAGGTTCCAACAACATAACGCTTGCTAAAGGAAAAATACCACTTTCGTTCAATGAGCCAATCACCATCATCTTACGAAAAGAGCGATGGCATGAGTGCTCGTTGCCATCTGGGTACATGCCCTTTGGGCTTGAATACGCACTGACAAAATTTTGCCCAAATCTAATGGCAGAGGGTATTTAGAGCATAGCTGAATAATGCGATATGCTTCCGTGTGTGCAAACATGGGCTCGAAGAAATAGGTCAAATATTTCAACTTTAGAGCTCCTCACATCTACTAAGCAAACAGTATGGGACGCAAGCCCTGAGTCTATTTTCTGTATGCCAGGGCTAGTTATGAAAGGAGTGTTCGATAATATATCATCGGAAGGATTCAGCGGATCCTGCGGCGTGAGGGTGTCTCGCTCTTGATAGCCGAGTTTTTCAATTGCTTTTTGACGCAGAGAAGGACAAAAATTAGCTTCACGGCCTACACTAGCGACTGGATTGACAAAGAGGTTGGTATCTCATACGGATCAT